TGATCAGACACGAAGACACTTCAGGTCCCGGATCGAAGGGGTGTGTCACTGCCGTAGGGAGAATGGTATTAAATGTGGTCTCGTAAGAACGACATTTAGGAGAAGTCGAAATCTTATCTGGCAAAAGGAGTGTCAGATGACATTCTCGTCTTTTGCAATACGTTAGTTGAACTGATAACTCAGTGATGCCGGCGAGCCTGCAAAGTGAATAGATAAGCAGCCTATAGCTCCTCGTCGTCACGAAAGAAAAGGCGTGCTCAAACATCTAATGGCCTTGCAACTTGCACTGCGAAAGTGCTTGCCAAATGATTGAAACACGTCAGGAGTTAAAATGAATTTGCACCGCTTCATGAGTGTCAAACAGAAAAAAAGACATCATCCAAGTGCTCCATATTACCCAGATTCCAATTTGTGCTCGGTTGGTAAAGTTCTACAGTGGAACCCTGCATGATTGAGTGAACAATCAAACTGATTAAAAATGAGAGATTACAATTCTAATGGACACTAATTGTTATCAGAAAGGTATTCGGCAGGTAGCGATAAACCTTGACATGACCGAAGGTGCTTGAGTACAGGGTATATAAAATGTTCATAGGAGCAATTCTCCGGACAAGGGTATCGCATTAAACGGATGGAACTATTGAATCGGATGTGCCTTTGATGTGACACCGTGCAATTATTCGTCACAGAGTGAAGGTATGATCATTAGAACCATGTATTCGTTCAAAAGTTGCCTGTTGTCACACTCGAAATCTAGGCTCGGAGATAAAGTGATTCCAGAATGAAGGTCAGTGAGAATGTCACTAAAGACGTTAAGATGATGCCTCTATGATTAAGGCAAAACTGCGGTTGTTCTTTAAAATGCTGCAATTAGGATCGACTCGTCCTAGTTGGCAGTGAAGATCCACGTTCGCCAACTTGGTCAAGCAGGTGAATCGACTCCTTATAAGGGACCTCAAATTGCACAGGTTCGGTCGACAGAACCCAGGATGAATTGAAGTTTAGGAAAGCTACCGGTCGACCATGAAGAAAAACGCTTTAAGTAGACCGAAGGCTAACAGTGAAGAAGTTATTGAACGTTATGACCAAGCAACCCAAAGCTGAGAAATCCGGGACGTACTCGTAAGCTGCTATCATTGCTTCAAAGTATGAATGCACAGGCGAATTGTAGTTAAAGCGTCCGAGTCTGAGTGACGAGTTTGCTTAGGAAGTAAGGCGACAGACTAGATAGGGAGAATATTTCTTTGGTGTCACTCTCGATTTTAAGCTGATACTATTGTAAGCAGTGACTTCAGACAAACATCCTCTGATGTGGTTCTGATTGTTGGATAAGTGCCTTTGCTGAACCACAGTTACAAAGCAGGGGGAGCATTAGCACAAAAAATTGGTGTGGTGATGCAACTTTGCTCCATGCTGCGTAAAATTGCTGACGTGACGGCAAAACGTCTACAAGGGTCCAGAAACATAACGACTTTGACAGAGTCTAGAGACGTAAAATCCACTAAGAGAAAATGATGAATGAGCGCTGCTCTTACTTCGATGCGTTGAGGTAGAGGCGCAAATTTTCGAGCTTCTTCGCCTGGAACCTGGTCCGCGACAATGTCAATAAAAAGCCATTCACTGGTTGTCACAGCTAAGTATCTGGAGGCAAGATGACCAACGGGTAAAACTGAATAAGACACCATCACATGTGAATAATCAATAAAAGACAAGTTACTAGTCTTAGCCTACGCCAATTAGGGTGAGAAAAATCTCTATCGAACAAAATTCAAGTCAGTCCAGCTATAAGACTGGTTTAGTATACGAACAAGAACGGAAAATCACGGTGGAGAAGAAAAGATGGATGAAGAAAGCAAGATACAGCAGGGAGACTCAAACAAGCTAGGTAGAATTCGATGGGGTCAAAATCGATAGAGGACCACTGGAGTTCAAAAAACCAATGAATCATTGTTCTGCTTGTCCGGACTCGTTAAAAGTAAGCATTTCCCCCAAAATACCAGGGGGATCAAAACTACGCTCCTAGTACGTTGGAAAGCAGGCGCATGGGCTTCCAGAACACAATGAATGATGAGTCCATGGAAACATTCATGAGTTGCAAAAGCGCTACCCCGCCTCCAATACCATTCACGCCACTGTAAATTCGCATGCGAGCTACCTGTGATGTTACCACAACAACTTACTGGACCAAGTTCCGGAGCCCGTTTCTGAGAGGGCAAATAGTGTGCTTTGTGCGATATGAGGGACAGAAAATAATCAGTTGCCTCAGCTCATGGTAAGGCGCTTATTGCCAGAAGCCAGAAATCTAAGCCAACGAATCGGAGCACATATGTCTACAGTCCCGTAAATGAATCCGATTTCGCGCTGTATCCTCGGATATTTCTAAGTATTAACATGCTTTGCCCAAGACGATGCACAGAATGGACAGTGTGAGATTGCATATTCGTTATCCATTAGACTGACCGATGAAATCTTGCAAAAATAAATGATATGCGGTGGGTCGAACGTCCACATGAAGCTAGAACAAGTCCACAGAATTAAAGAGCCGAGGCTCCTGTGACAAACCATTGCCTTCATCGTGGCAAATATGTGATGTCACCGCAAGCACTAAGTATCGAAGACCGAAAGCGCACGTGCCGCTCACAGGAACCAGACCGGATTAGCATGCATGTACAAGCTCTCATCTTGTCTTGGTCATAACGAAACTCCGTTCGCATCGGACAGTGACCGTGACCAACGGTGACTATTGCCGCCCCATCGGCCAAGGCATCCATACCTTTTGAGCGTGTTCGCGCGCTCTCACGAGGTCCGCAATCTACCTGGATCGACGGGAACATCGAGCAAATATCGACTCAAGCAATCCCAGCCCCAACTTTCACTAACTGTCACGTTAGGCTGTCTTGCATTGTATTTGCCGAAAATGAATTGCCGAAAAAATACTTACCGTAATTATCATACTTTTAACGTATATTATAATGCCGCGTAAAAAGGATAATCGTGTAACTCATACTCTGTAGAGATACGCCACGATAATGTCGCAACTACTCCAAATTGACGAAGGCTGACTGTGGGGTAACGATAAAAGGGGTATACTTCCAAAGACAATCCGTCACTGTCCAACCAGAAGATTTGGTTAGAATGAGTTGCGTCAGAAAACGACACACCATTCTCGATGCCGGGCACCGGAGATACGCCAGTACCTTTGCAATGATGCTTCGAGGCAATGCAACCGTAATCGGCCGTAGGCAAGCTGCGGTATTATTCACTACGGTGCATTAAACTAGGCAGTGTACACCACAATACACCTTCAACCAATCACTAACGTGCCTTCTCTTCAATTAATGGGGACGGGAATAGCACACTATCTCTAATCAGATTGTGAATATCTATACATAATGGGAACGATACTCGCCGGTAGTCTGTCGAATACTCCGAGTTTGTTAGCGACAGCCAACCCCTCTCGCTACAACTTATTGCTCGGTTGGTGAAATTCCATAAAGGAACTCTTCATGATTTAGTGCACAATAAAACGGATTTATAATGAGATATTACAGTTCTAATGAATGCTAATTGTTATCACAGAAACATATCCGGGGTGCAGACTAGGCGCTTGATTGGCTGCATAAGGGCTGCGACGAAAATACAGTGAAATCGTTCCGGTTACTGAAATCAGCACAACAATCCGGTATAATTAGATAACCACTCGGTCATAAAACAAACTTAACAGTAGTGTGCTAATGATTCAACGGACTGTGAAACACTTACCCAGTTGAGTCGACCGGTTTGTTAAGCGCAGATTTAATGCCGGGAATCCAAGCGCTGAGCTGGTCTCTAACGAAATAAGAATGAAAAGGTTGCGTAACAAATTACTCCATAAACGAACTGATAACAATGACTCGCCCGCCGTTTTCCAATGGCTCCTGCTGTTTCTGAGAAGCCTTCAACATTTGCAACATGCTGCAAGCAGCGCCCAAACCCGGCATGTTGGAGCAGTTTTTCAAGTCCAGGTGAGTTTCAACCGGAGGGCCTTCATGAGTAAAGCTGGTCCATAACTGATTGGTAGATCAACGAAGTGATACATGTACACCTTACGGCCTCGATGCTTTGGTCCTCATCCAGCCAAATACTATGAATTTTCTCTTCATTATCAAAGGTTACAAGTGAGATCTGCAATATGTTATATTAGAGATGTTTCATTGTGTACCGGCTTCTCTCGTGAAAAGATATCGAACACGATGCGGCAATACTGTAGCACAGCATCAATCGTGATGGACCACAGAGATCTGCGAAGCACAGCCCGAAGCGAAGACTTCGGGCCACATTCCAATACGAGTTCATCTGCGGAAGGTGTCGAGAAATAGACCGTGTGGTTCAACACAAACACAGTTTTCTCATTAAAGTCCATTACTCATAGGGGTTGGAGATATCGAAAGACATCCAGATTCAAAAAGTCCAAAAGATGGGGACACTGGAACATAAGCTTAAGTTCAAATGGAATCGGAACAATAGCACGATCCCATGTGTGATCCTTTCTCTGCGGATTGCTCAATCAGGAATTGACAGGCCGATTTAAAATACAAATGAACCTAAAACGAAAGTGCATCAGACGCTGATCAACCATTTGCTGTTCACATATAATGCCCCAAGAGTTCCTGCTGGAACGATCATGTGAAGTAAGGAAAGGAAATAATAAGCTCGGAATAGGTAAGAAACACGCCAGTTGTTGTGCCGTAATGCAAGAAAATTAGGTAGCGGAAAACAGAAAAAAACGACAAAAGTAGTATAAAACGGCAAGGTAACTACGCTTTGTTCTACAGAATATATTGACGAAGAGGCCGTGAGTAGCGAAAAAAGCCAAGCGGAGAGTGGTGGGAGAAACAACACAGACGTCACTGATGTCGGCCCTTCGCCATGTCAGTTAGTGTGTCCAAATAAACCTGTTCATCATCCCTTGGGCCCTAACCAGAGAGTCGGCAAGATCCAACCGATGCCAAATTAGAAGCGAGGGTCCTCATTCATGATAATCAAGTTGTCCGATGGCCTTCCCTTCTCTTTAATACAAAGCCCAGTCGTACAGGCTACGTACAGAACGAGAGTCTATGTGCTGGCATTAGTAACACAAGGGTAGACCATCGGATCCTGGTGCGTTAGAGATAATAAATAAAATTCTTATTCTCGATGAAACGATATACCAGTACAGATATGATCAAGTGGTTGACCGAGCTACAGGAATACTGTAAGCGTATGTACCATCCGGGAAAAGGTAAGAAACCATTATTTTAGCAATTAATCGATTACCTTCGGTTGTGCACTGATTTCGATGAGTAGGGAACCTTCCATTTCTTCACGTGATTGCCCGGAGCGACCATCTAACAATAAACGCTTAAAGTATTGTCCGTGACAGTTGCTTAGTACAGTTCATTGGGTTGTAAAGAGCAGGAGGGAAATCCCTGGTCAGGCCCACTGGGTTTGATGCGTGTCGTTGCATTACGACGTTCCTCGACGGTTCGTAGCAACTGCAGTGACAGCCGCAAGATTCCAGCATTCTCAGCGAATGTTTGTCTAGCAGCCGCTTGAAACTTTCCTCAGATGGCGCGCCTGCAAATTTTTTCCGGTAGGCTGTTTCAATCATTCACCACTCTAGTGAATAGGGTGACGTCCATGCGAATACTGTATCTTCTTTGCTTAAATAGTTTACATGTGTGACCTCGTGTGGAACAGCCAGTGTTGGGCCGGAAGGATTTTAACTCACTTCCAAGTTCCCCTCGGAGGATGCGCCTAGTGTAGATGAGATCACGCCGGCGACGGCGGAGCTCGAGGGAGAACAGATTTATCTGCTGGAGTCGAATGGGGTACGGGAGATCATGAAGCCGCAGAACAGCTTTCGATGCACGTCTCTGAAACTCTCTCAGCAGAGCGCATTCAAATTTTGAAAGCGGATGGATAGATGGCAGACCATATTCTAAGACTGGATGGACGTACGAAGTGAACAAAGGTCGAGAAATCTCAGGAGTCATTCCAGCGAATGATTATCTTGAAGCACCCACCAGTATCCTCCCAGTGGCCATCTTTTTCAACATGTCCAGCGTCGTTCTAAGGTCACAAGTCACGATAACCCGGAGATCTCTCTCGTGAGTGGTATTCCTGAGCAGAAACCCACTAATGTGGTAAGCACTGTACCGTTCAGTGTTGCCCATGGGGAGAAAGCGCATTTATCTCGGTTTACTGGCAATTCCCACTTGATGGACCAGTCGTGTAGCTGGTCTGTCCTGTTGCCCTCCGGGAAGCAAGAAGACTGGGTCGCGATCACGAAGTCATTAAGATTATGCTCGGATATCTATAGAGTATATACACTATTTACAACAGTCCGTTTCAATGGCTCATCCCTGTTATTTACATTGTGTCGCTGGCTCCTTGGCCATGG